GTGTGTGTGTGTGTGTGTGTGTGTGTGTGTGTGTGTGTGTGTGTGTGTGTGTGTGTGTTATTTGTATTACTAATATATGAATGTTATTGATGTCCCGCTCTCTGCAGATGTGAGGCAGCGTTTGGGGAAGAGACGATATTCCCCCGATGGACGTTCCCCCTCCCCCCCCTCCCCCAGGGACACGCCCCCTGCCAGAGAGCCAATCAGAGACGTGCACCGCAGGCTGGGCGTTGCCAATCAGGACAGAGCAGTAAACTCATCCAAAGACAGGAAGTCAAGTAAGGAACCGCTCTGAAGAGAAAAATACATAAATCAGAAGTGCAGGATGATGTTTGTTTTTCAAAGTAAAAGCCCCAGAGACTAACAATCTCTCCAGGAAGTGAAGGATGTCATTTCAAAATAAAAGCTCAGTGATCAGATGGTGACGTTGTGTCTCTTCTCTCAGCGCTGTGGAGCAGACTGGGCTCGGCCGGAGACGACGCCAACGAGCGCCTCTTCACCCCCTCTTCATCATCATCGGGGAGGAAGGAGAACGCCTCCAGCATCAGGAGGGGAGGCGACGGGGAGGAGGAAGAGAAGAAGAAGAAGAAGGTGGTGGCAGGGGAGGAAGAGGAGGAGGAGGAGGGCGACTCGGCGCTGCAGGAGGTTTGGGGCGCGATGATCAAACAGAAACAGGAGCGTCAGACCACGCACATCAAAAAGAGTCGTCTCGATAACCTGCCGTCGCTTCAGATCGAAATCAGCCGCGAGAGCAGCGACGAGTCCGACAACTGAGGAGACCTTCATCATCGTCATCATCATCATCATCATCGTCCTCTTCCTCATACAGACTGCAGATCTGAGGCCGTGGGAGGGGGGAGACATGTACGACGTCCTGATATTTAGTTTTTTTGTTTGTTTTGGCTATTTTTAAATATCGACAGTCTGCGACCGAGTCCATGAGCCGTGCTTCAGAGACACGTAAGACAACTTCAGAGACACGTAAGACAACTTCAGAGACACGTAAAGACAACTTCAGAGACACGTAAGACAACTTAAGACAACTTCAGAGACACGTAAAGACAACTTCAGAGACACGTAAAGACAACTTCAGAGACACGTAAGACAACTTCAGAGACACGTAAAGACAACTTCAGAGACACGTAAAGACAACTTCAGAGAGACGTAAAGACAACTTCAGAGACACGTAAGACAACTTCAGAGACACGTAAAGACAACTTCAGAGACACGTAAGACAACTTCAGAGACACGTAAAGACAACTTCAGAGACACGTAAAGACAACTTCAGAGACACGTAAGACAACTTCAGAGACACGTAAAGACAACTTCAGAGACACGTAAGACAACTTCAGAGACACGTAAAGACAACTTCAGAGACACGTAAAGACAACTTCAGAGAGACGCAAAGACAACTTCAGAGAGACGTAAGACAACTTCAGAGACACGTAAAGACAACTTCAGAGAGACGTAAAGACAACTTCAGAGAGACGTAAAGACAACTTCAGAGACACGTAAAGACAACTTCAGAGACACGTAAGACAACTTCAGAGACACGTAAAGACAACTTCAGAGAGACGTAAAGACAACTTCAGAGAGACGTAAGACAACTTCAGAGACACACAAAGCAACTTCAAAGACACACAAAGCAACTTCAAAGACACACAAAACAACTTCAAAGAGACACAACTACTTAAAAATACTCAAAATTATAACAACGAAACTTGAGACAACTTTGAAGAGATGCTAAATGACAACAGAGAAGAAAAAAAGTGACTAAAAGGAAATACAAAACAACTTAAAGGAGACACACAAAAACTTAAAGGAGACACACAAAAACTTAAAGGAGACACAAAACAACTTAAAGGAGACACACAACAACTTAAAGGAGACACAAAACAACTTAAAGGAGACACAAAACTATTTCGAAGACATACAAAAATTACTTCAGAGATACAAAATGACTTTAAATGACCTCAAAGAGACATAGGATGACTTCAAAGAGACACCGCAGATGACGAGAGAGAGAAGTGTTTTTTGTTGTTGTAAATCCTCACATTTGTTGTATACTGTTTGTATATTTAAATATGTGTCGATATTAAACGGCCCAAAAACCCCAAACATCCGTTACCATGTGGTCCGGGTCTCTCTCTTTCCGCGACTCATTCCCGTCGGCCTCAGATCTGATTTTTGTAAATTTGACACAGTGTTTCCCTCGGAGACCCTGGACGCTCCGGAACATTCCTGCGTTCAGAAAAAGTGTTTCTCCGTTTCTTTGAGATGTTTCCTGTGTGCAGCGATCAATGAAAGACTCATGGGGATAATGACCTGGTGTTTCCTACGGACGGACGGCGGAAACGCAGACGGACCTTTTGTTTCCTGAATGTCGGACGTTTCTCTAACATTGTTTTTTAAAGCTGTCATGGAGCTGCTTCCTGTGTGCGTGACAGGAACACTGCTGACTTCAAACATCATATCTGTGTTTAAATATCTTTGTTTTGGATTCTTTACGCAGGGTCAAACATTTTAGATTATTATAAAAATTAGAGCTGCGACGATTGTTTTCTTTATGGATTAGTTGCAAAACGTTTTTTTTCCTGATTTATGCTTTGATGTATAAAATGTCAAAACAAATTGTCAATCTCAGTTTCTCCGAGTCAAGGTGATGTGTTCCAAAAATATTCATTTAAATATGAAATAAAACAAAAGATTAGAGAGAAGCACACCTGGAACATAGTGACATCACTAAAAAACACTCACGCTCCTATTGGCTAGCGCTCCAACACATTGTACGTGACAGGCTAAGGGGCGGGACATCTCTAAGCAGGTTGACCAATCACAACAGAGCCGGCCAGCTAACCAATCAGAGCAGACTGGGCTAAAGTTGAATGTGTATCTATCAACCTATCCCAATTTAAGAAGTTCACTGCTATTAACGTGAACTAATACTGACTGTCTAACAAAGCAGCGACACATGTTAACCCTCAGATGCATAAGTGGGTATCTTTGGACCCGGTTAGGTGGTTTTCTCGAAGTATCTTTGTAATTACATTCTTTTATCATTTAATATTCCAGCTATTCCTCAAAAAGCATGTTTTGGATATCATTCCATTCAAATGTTTAATTTACATTCTAAGAAATTGTAGTTTTTGTGTTACTACCCCAAGCTTCAATAAGTGGGTCAAAAATGACCCGCATGCATTTTCTATGGGAACCTTTGATTCTTATCACCTGTTGCTGTCAGGACTACATTCCCTGTGGACCACACAGACGACATCACAAGTGACACCTCTCAGGAAGATTATTGTACACAGCAAGATCTGAAACCTGCAAGATCTGAAACCTGTCAGTATAATAATAATACATTATATTTGTATAGGGCTTTGCAAGGACTCAAAATCGCTTTACAATAAAAGGGAAGGTTAGGGTGGGGGGTATAGGACTATCAAACTTGATCAACCGGCATGGATTGATGGGGGGGGGGCTATGAGTAGACACAGGAGAAGAGATGAGTTTTGAAAAGGGACTGGAACACTGAGGGTCTCAGAATAGCGGAGATCTTGGAGGAGGGAATTCGTGTGTGTGTGTGTGTGTGTGTGTGTGTGTGTGTGTGTTGTGTGTGAGCAAACATAAAACAGTGGTGGTGGCTTAAAGCCCACCTCTGCTCCGCGCTGCCCGTTAGATGAGCCTCACATTAATAAGAAGAAGGAGTTCAAAACACCGGCATAAAAGTTATAACAATAAT